CTGTAAACACAGCACTCCACGTTCAGCCTTTCATGCGCTCACAGCATTCAAAAAAAGATTGTAAATATAATTTATTCTGAAGCAATATTCTCATCAGTGTTCAGTCAGCTTTGCCATATTTAAATCTGCATGTTTATGATATTTTAACCTTTATAAAGAGCATTTTTTCACCTAATTGGTTTAAATATACGCTTCATCTTTCATTTTAAATTCTTAAATTTGATCAATAAGTTAAATTAGAATATTAAGGCACTATAGGGCTGTTACCAATCAAATTAAATCATTTACACAGAAAAATTGCATTAAATAATGTTATGAGACTGTTTTAAATATTTTTTAACATACAAATTAGAAATGTTGGAAAGAAGGATACGAAAACTAACACGAAACTAAACCGCCAGTAAGGCGACCATCTTAATGAGCGAGTCATTGAATCTTTGACTCAAACGACTCATTCAAACGGCTGACTCGTTCAGGAATGAGGCAGTTGTTTATAAATGAATTAATTGAATCTATCATGTATATCAATATAATGTGGAGCCCTGGTTACTGGTAATCCAGATGTGTGTGTGTGTGTGTGTGTGTGTGTGTGTGTGTGTGTGTGTGTGTGTGTGTGTGTGTGTGTGTGTGTGTGTGTGTGTGTGACTCACACAGCAGCAGCAGATGAAGACGATACACAGCGCCTGAAGAACCCCTGCCGTCCCGACGACCCATGTGAGCCTGAGGAAGAGGATCACGCCGAAGATGTTCTGCAGGCACGGCAGGTACACACCCATGAAGGTGCCCATCTGAGGAGACTGGAGGAATCATGGGAGATTCAGTGTGTGTGTGTGTGTGTGTACACACCCATGAAGGTGCCCATCTGAGGAGACTGGAGGAATCATGGGAGATTCAGTGTGTGTGTGTGTGTGTGTGTGTGTGTGTGTGTACACACCCATGAAGGTGCCCATCTGAGGAGACTGCAGGAATCATGGGAGATTCAGTGTGTGTGTGTGTGTGTGTGTGTGTGTGTGGTCCCCAGTCGAATAAGTAGCCGTGGACCAACAGCGGAGGTCTATCAGGTATGGAGGGACTAGATGAGTGGCATCACTAGATCCACTGCAAAAACTCCATTTATGCCAAAGATACTCCTCGACATGGCGAGTGCAGTCCGCCATCAACTGAGACTGAAGCTGTGGAGAAAGGGTCTGCGCACCCCTCTCTTCACATTAAAGCCACTCTTTACGTTTGCTATCACTTCACCGTACAAGCCCTTCGGCGACAGGGTAAATGTGACGGGTAAAACTTGTGCTTCTGGGAGACAGGCCAGAGTAGGCACCAGCAACATGCTCTGGTCTGGGGTAATTGGGAAACATGGATTAGGCAACATGACCAGGAACGGCCTGCGACTCCTCTCCCTCTGCTCTGAGCACAAACTGGTCATAACCAACACAACTTTCCAAATGAAAAACTACTACAAAGCATTATGGATGCACCCCAGACCCAAACATTGGCACCTACTGGACTACAGTCTCCATCACCCGAGCAATGCGTGGTGCGGAGTGCTGGACAGATCATCGGCTGATCAGATCCAAGATACACCTAAAGGTCCGACCCCAACACACTAGGCACCAACCCTCAAGACGGCTCAACTCCCGAGCCCTTAAACCCCCTGACATCCCTGCATCGTACGTCGCTGCTTGGCTGATAACCTATCCTCCGCTCTCATTCATCCCCTACTCAATCCAGCGGAGAGTGCACGGGCTAACCTTAGCTCAGCTATACAACAAGCCCCCACTGACACAATTGGTTTAACTTCCAAACGTCACCAGGACTGGTTTGACGACAGCTGCTCCGAAATACTCAACCTTCTGGAGGAGAAGCGTAAAGCCTTCACTGCTCACCTCTCCAATCCACCATCTCCCTCTCTGCGCTCACACTGGAGTAATATCCGTGCTGCGGTGCAACAGCGGCTTCGCATCCAAGGCTATGCGGACACGAACAACTCTCACGCTTTCTACGATGCAATAAAATCACTATATGGACCCTAAAAACGCAGAATTACCCCTATCAGATCTGCAGACGGCACAATACTGCACAAGGACAAACAAGTAAATCGAGCGTTGGGCTGAACATTTTAACACCCTCCTCAATCAAAATAATCCGACTGACCCCACTGTCCTGCAGCGCCTCCCAAAGCTCCCAGCTGTGCATGAGCTTGATGACCCGCACAGGTTCCCAGAAGTCCTCGCAGCAGTACGAAGCCTCAAGGACAAGTCTGCTGGTCCTGATGGAAACCCTGCAGAGGCTCTACAGAAAGGCGAGAAACTGCTCACCAAAGCCTTCACCAACACAAAAGACTGTTCCACAAGGCTGGAAAGACTCACACATTGTTACCATCCACAAGAAAAAGGGTGTCAAGTCCATCTGTAGAAACAGTCGTGGCTCTCTGTGGCAGGGAAAGTATTATGGTAAATGGACTGCATTCATATAGCGCTTTCACAGACCCAATGGCCACCAA